CTTGGTTTCCTTTTGAAACCAACCATAAAGGAGTTTCAAAACAAGACACACCCGCTTGGCAACTTCTCATTTCGCGGCACTTCGCCACTGACTTCGTGGCCCAAGGCCGGCGTTCCCCCCAGACGTCCTGCCCATGGCCAAGCCTCGGAGGCCAAACCGAGCCCCAAAAAATCGGCCGGCGGCCTGCGGGTTTCTGGCCGCCTCTGGCTTTCCCTAAGGGCGTTGCAGGAAAATTTGGCAGACACACAGCTTGTTCAGGGTGTGTTGGGGCCATTTCCTCTGGATCCGTTCCGCTTTGAACCAGCGAGCCGGAGGTTTTGGGATGGTCCGAGGCCGACCGGTGAAGTCAAGGTCAAACAAAGCAACCAAGAGGAAAATGCTGGACAACGCCCGCCGTGGATCGTGGGTGTGTCCGAAACAGGAAAGCACAGTTCATCGCAGCCTCCCCGCCCCCATGAAAACGAGAAAATCCAGAAGAGGGGCCGCAATTTTGGCGAACAGCTGTTCAAACGATGTGTTTACCATTACGAATCCTGGTAGTTCACTCAATCCGAACCCAGGATAGATAAACCTCACTTTTGGGGGGAAACACCCTCCCATTGTTTTTTACCCAAGTTGGCTTCCGTGGTTGAGAAGAGCGGATTCACGGGATTCAAAACAAACCTCAAGAAGTCCACCGGCCGCTTCCAAACCGAACCCGCCAAACGGAACCCGCTCGCGCGTGTCGCCCTGGCGGCCTTGGCCCCCGCACGCAGAAACAGCGCAGCTCTAGGGCAATGGAGGGCTACGAAAAGAGGGCTTCGCCAGCAGGGCGGGCGCAGTTTGCTGTCGAGGCTGTGCTTCAATTTCTTTCACTCAAGGTCTGAAACCCTTGGTCGCTCGATTGGTTCATCTGAACGTCAAGGCTGAGGGATTTCAAGCTTCGTGAAAGCTCCAGACGCACAAAGGCCGGAAGCGGTAGAAGCGAGGAGCGGCACGGGAAGCGGCTGGCTCTCAGGGAAGATGGAAATGCAGCCGCCAATCAAACTCTTGGTGTCCCCATGAGTACCATGTCAAAAATGTTTGGCGTCACCGGTGGTTCTAATTCGGGCCCTCAGACATACCAGAGCTTTTGCTCATAACTAAATGAGCAGCTCCGCCGTTTTGTGGCCAATCCACTCCATCGCAGTTGAGTCAAGGTACTGCAGAAAGGCGGTTTACCCCACTGATTCAAAGTCTACACTGCCCTTGCGTTCCCAGCCGTTCCGTCTCACCCTTTTTGCTCATGTTGGCCCGTTTGACGAAGCCTTTGTGGCTTCTTTCCCATGGCAACCAATCTGAAAATCACACCATCCAACGAATTTGCAACGGGGCCACCCTCCAGCACTTGGGAGAATCACCAGCAAGCTGAAACCCAACCTTGGTAAAGGAGGGTACAAGGCGAGTTCGCTTCGCCTGAAACTTCTGCGTGTTGGATGCTCACCCCTGTCCGGTGTCCAAAACATCCCAAGCCCCACAGCAGGAGTATGCTTCGCGCCTTGTGCTCCCCTCTTTCACCCTGCAAGATGCTTCCGAGGCCCGCAAGCACCCAATTCGAGGGGGTAAATGGCCACCATGTTTTCCCCAGTTCTGGGCTTAGACCCTCAGCTGAAATCAGGTTGCCCTCAAAAGGTGTGGTTTGGATCGGTGGGGCTGGCACTCCGTAGCCTAGAGCCCCTGCATCTTGCCCCGAACTACAGCCACTTGTAGTGACACCTCTGACACCTTTCCGCCACCGGCTTTGCGATTTGAATGGCCCCATGCAGGTGGGGATCAAAAACAAGGTTGCGGCGCTGTTAGTGACCGTGGTGGATTGGACCCCCCCTGCGCCAACACGCCTGGCTCAAACCCTGCGCTTTGGAAACCGAACAGAAGGCACCGCGGTTTCGTATGGAAAACTCACAGGTTTTGTATACTTTGGCACGTTCCGCACTGGCACGGTGACGCGCAGCTGGCGGCGGATGCGGTGGTCCTTTATTTTTTCTCCTGACAGAACATTAGCGCACGTAGAGCTTGCCGACATGGCTGGCAACGAAGCAGGCGCGAAAACTAGAGGAGACACGTGCACGCCCAACGATCCAGACAGAATCCGCCGCGAGAGCACAAAGCAAGCAGCAGTCAACGCACGTGGCAAGACAGGGTGAGCCGCGGACACCAGCGACCAGGCAAAACGAAGCCGAGGCAAAGCATCAGGTAGCTGCGACCAAGGCAACGGACTGCGCTCAGATATCGCCCCTATTGACGACGCCAAAGCTACCACTGCATCGCCTCCGCTGCACCCAGCAAATATTTCCTGGTGTGAATCCAACAGCCAAACGTCACAAGACCAAAACGGAGCGAACCAATCATCTGGAACTGGGCGCGGCCACCTAGCGATGCGCAGCAGCAAAACGTGGGCCAAACACAAAGACAACTGCGTTTCACATGTCATGGTGCTAGTAGCCCAAAAGCAGCAGCAAGAGATGGGCATGGACAACCCAATGCTTGCTCCAGAACACAAAGTGGTACACTTACTTTGGACGTTGACATGCCCGCCCACCCCACCCCCCCACCCCTGCAAACGCCTTGACAGATTGATGCTCTTGAAACCTGTCACGCAGTCAGTTCGACGGACGTTGACACGGTCGCTAATATCCCCCCCCCACCCCCCCCCCCCCCCACACGTGGTCGGACAGAAGATATCAGCGTACGAGCCCACGGTCGCTAATCGCGCCGTGAGCTCAAAAAAACAACAGCTCAGCTTCCGTGGGTTTGACCCCGCCGGAAAAACCTAGTGCACATCTTCATAACTTTCATACGACCCACTTCCTAAGGTGGGGTCATCTAAACCCTCCCCTCCCCGGCCTCGCGCGCAAGTTTTCGCCGCGCGCTCGCGCGAGGCCGCAAGCAACTCCAGCTTTCGGGAGCCGGGAGCGCCTGCGGCCAAAAACAGGGACTCTGCGGTACACCCGGGGATTTTCATGGGGAGAACAAAGGCTAGGCCCTGCAGTAGAGAGGTTAGAATCAGGGCGCCCCTTTTTTCTGTAGTGTATTTTAGAAAGGGAAGCCTCCCGCGAAAAAGGGCAAAAGGGCACTACCGGGACCTAGAAAACGATCTGGCACCCTTGTTTTGGACGGTCGGTGGGTCTACCCGTGAGAAAAAAAAACAGGCCCAAGTCGGCCTCTACGTGATTCGAAGCAGTGCTGTGTCCCCGTTTTGACCTGCACTTGCAACCGCAAAGTCAGCATCTGCTTTGTGATTTCCATTTAGGTGTTCTAACGCTCAAACCTGCTATGACCACACTATTGTTTACGGTTGTGTGTTAAACTGGCCAATGTGGGGGCTACGAAGAGAGGAAAATGTCAACTGGATTTGTAAGTACCCTGCCTTTAGTTTGAACCTCACCTCTTTGGGGAAGTCCAAGGCACTGAAGAAACGAGGGGCCAAACCAAGGTGGCAGCAATGTTTCTTTTTTCCAAGAGCCACTGAGGCGGCATGACGGAAATCTAGCGCGTGAAGAGTTCAGCACCCCAACAATCAAGATGGCCAGGTCGTTCTCGGTGTGGCAACGACACAGCACCGACTGTCTGACACGCAAAGCGGCGGTCTGACCAGCTTTTTCTGTGCTGCGGCAGTCAGTGAGTTCGTCCATTTTCTGCCTTAGCAGCGCAATCTCCTCATCCTTGGCTCTCAACTGTAAAGTCATTATGGTTTCTTGCGCAAAGCGCCCCGTCAGGAGCCTTTAGAGCTGCCCCATTGTGGCAAAGGCGCACCTCCTGTCCCCGCCAATCAGCCATGCTGCACGCGCAACTTGGAGGACTTGTCCACAGCAGACAAATTGCATTCAGCACGTGGGCTGTTTGGCAATGTTGGTTCAACAAGGAATGTGCGATTGAGCATTGCACGAAAAAGCCTCGCCAGACAGCTCTTTCTTCATGACTGCTGTGTTGACGGAAAGGGGTGAGGAAATCATCTCTGAAGGCAGACACTTCTTCCGCGGGCGGGCAAATGCAGATCCCACTGCGCAGCTTCTTGAATTAACTGCCACGCACGAGCAAAGACTTTGTCTGAGCAGACATTGTCCACCAGTCCTGCCAGACTTTCTGGGCACTTCCGTGCTTGCGGCGCTGAGGCTCCAGGGGTAGCAAATGGCCACCGAGTTCCGGCTGCTGCAGGACAACGCCGACAAGTTCCACACAACAAGCACCTCACTGACCGGCGCATCAAGGCAGTGGAGGGGGCTTTCCGAGCGCCGGGGAAAGTGGTGTGGTTGGCGCTCTGCGCGGTGACCTGTGGCGCGCCAGGGTGAGCTTGTGCTCCTGGTGGTAGTGTGAGGCACTTTCTTGGCGGGCTGGGCAAGGATGTCGTTCAACATGGTTGAGCCCGCTAGGAGCTCTTTGAGGCCAAACTTGCGCATCCGCGTTGCAAGCTGCCACGCAACGGTCAATGAATGTTGATGGATGTCTCAGATGGCTTCGAGGTTATCGGGTCCCAGGCCCTGTCTCGATCAACGAGTTGTTGGAATCGAGGGTCAAGGTACGCTCAGTCTTGCGCCAACGACGCCGCGAAGGTGCGCTGGGAGATAATCTCGCTCAAGCCTGCGTAACGTTTACTGCTGTGGTCTTCATGCTACACGCGAGCGATTGCTCTGTCCTTGCCGAGGGTCATCGCCTCAGGGCGCCCGCTGACGGTCTGTGAGTTGTAGCGCCACAGGAACTCAGCGTACACTCTGGGGAACTCTTTCGTGACCTGGTATGTGTCATGGCGTCGTGAGCAGTCAAGCGTGGCGCCAAGAGTCACTGCGTTTGTGAGCTGCCCACGTTTGGATTGCTGCTGGATCCGCAAATATGTGAAGGTGCCCCAAGGCAGCGGATCCGGATGTGTTGAAGGTAGAGTCGAGTGGCATCATTGCCTGGTGCGAAGAACGTCGGTCGACCGGGGGGTCTGCGCCGAAGAGTCTTTGACTGAGCTCGGTGTTGGCCATCACCACACAAAGTCTGAATCCTGACCTTCTTGTAGCGGCCGGTTGCATATCGCCACCTGCACTGCGGTCCACAAATGATATGCCGGCATTTGTGTGACGAGGAGTCGTCCGATAAGGTCGCCTTTCTGTGATCATGACTTGGGGTTGTCCCGGATTGGCTCGACTTGGTTGAGGGTGGACTCCTGCGTGTAGCGGGCCACAACATCGGACCCCCACCACTTTATGAGCTGGACTGTCTCCTTGGCGCAGCCCACGCAGGTGAGGACTGACGCGCCGGTGGGCTTGACGGTCCGTCGGACAAGGTCAATGGATGGGCGTGCCCCGCACTCCGGGGAATAAGAGTGGCCCAAGGAGTCAGGTTGGCGCGCCTTTGCGAAGACGTCGCAGATGCCGTTGGAGCGCGTGACGCGAGCAGAGTCAGTGGAGCGCTGGGCGCAGGAACAAATGGGCCGGCGCCGGGGGTTCATGGGCGGCACGTCCAAGCGGCGCAGGATAGCCGTCCACATGGCCGGGAAGTCGGCATGAAACTCGGACATGGTCTGCAGCCGGAAGACGTTGCGCGCCCGCAGTCCCAGCCGCGCAGAAATCCATGGCTCGAGAAGGTGCGGGTCAAGGATCACTCCAATGCAAGATTTGATCCTTTTCACCAAAATGGCCAACGAGTTCGGCAACCATCACAGCGAGCCGATTGTTTCGACAGCGATCACGGTTGCACGTCCGTTTTCGACTGTTCAGTTTGTCAACCAAGCAAACTGGCAATTCAAAGGTACATGGCTATCCGTTGTTATTCATGAGTTAACGACAACAAACATGGAAGTGCGCAACCTCTTTCGGAAGACAACTTTCCTGTTGGAAGGCCAAGCTCTGTGCAGTGGAGTTGCATGTTTGTTGCGCACTCATTTGTGTTCTTCAAAAAAAAATGTGGGTGAGTTTGTGCTTCAATAAAACCATTGTGTTTTTAGCATCGCACTTTCCAATTCTTGGTATGGCAGCACAAAACTAAGTGTTTTGTACCCAAAAAAACGCAGTACATGCCAACCAGAGTGAAGCCGGAGAAAAAAGTTGGATTCCCTTGATCTTGTTTAAACCGAACCATTGTCAGGCTTTGGTTTTGACTTACGGGACATTTGTCGAGGAATCAGCGGTAGAACCAAAAGCCCTCCTTTTGCCACCCCAAAAATTAGCGATTCAAACGTCTGCACAGGGCCAAAAAATGGGAGAGCCAACTTTTCCTGAGGAATCCAGGCACTGTCAACCAAAAAGGGACAGGGTGTGTCTGCCAGCAGAAAGCTCACGCGCGGGAATCTGTGGAAACCAACCTGCGGGAAAGGAGCGCAACGTGCAAGCTCAGTGGCTGTGCTGATAGCACGATTTGAGCCATGGATTGCTGTGCTGAAGGGAAAGGTGTTCAAAACCACAAAAGCAAAGTGACAACCACTTTGAAACCATGGTTGAAACCAGTCTTTGTTGGCATTTTGCAGGGGAGTCGCATCATTCCCTTGTGCTTCCTAAACGGAATTCGCGACATGGAATTCACAACCCCCACACCCCGGCCTTCCGCCTCCTTCGACCTTCCATTTTCCACCAAACCTCAACCCCTGGCCTTCGGCGCGCGCGGCGGTCACCTTCAGAAGGTCACCTCCTCCGTGGCCTGCGGAGCGGAGCTCGCGGAGCCCGGGCGCCGACGTCCGCCAAGACTCGGACGAACCGCTGCCTCAAGAAGGGCGCCCCGTGCTATTTTTGTTGCCCAAAAACGAAGCCACATGAAGCCCCCCGGAAAAAAAAAAATGTCCGGTGGCATCGCTTCCCTTTGAAACCAACAGTGGAAAGTTAACAACATATTCATTTCAGCAAATGGAAGCCCAGGCGAATGAAACTTTCCAGGTGGGAAGCACCAAGAGCCTTGGGCTTGGTGCAATAATCACCAAGTAGGGTCCATGCAGAGATTCTCCTAGGCCTGGAGGCTGATTGTTGTTTTGCTTCGCCTCTGTTTTGATGGTGCCCTTTTTGCCGGTTTTAAGAGAAGCCTACACATTTTGGGGGGTCCCTGCTTGGGCTGATGGGCTGAGCTGGGCCTTGTTGGCTTTTTGCTCTGCTGGGCTGTTGGGCTGTTGGGTTGTTGGGCTGTGGGGCTGTTGGGCTGTTGGGCTGTTGAGCCCCCCCGAATCCTCAAAAAAAAACACGAAATCCGCCAGCCCCATGCGAAACTTGGCGGGTCGACCCCGCGCCTCCAGCGGCCTCAGTCAGCGGGCGCTCCCTTTGACCCTGGAGAGAGATCACCCGCCGCGTGTCTCACGTCAGGTGGGCGTGCTTTTTTTTGTTGGTATTCATAACAACTTGATGTTTAATAGCTAAATCAAAAACATTAACTTGGGGGTTGGGGTGTTGGGGTTTGGGGGTTTTGGGGTTTTGGCAGGGAAACCAAAGACAACCTTCCCAAATTGGGGTCCGAATCCCTATTTTGAGACCTGGGGTGTCTTGTACGTCCCAAATAGGAACGTCACGTCAACTCGGCGAAAGGCACTCACATGGTGATCTGAAAAGCCACGGACATTACGGAGATTTGGGACAGGTCGAAACTCCGCCACTGCAAAGAGCGCCGTGCGGTGGGGGGTTTCGAGCCAAGAGACGCCGGAAGCCTGAGTCACAAACCTCTTGGTACTTTCTAAGAGGCCAATCAACTCAAGCGAGTTTTATTTGGGGCGGGCAGGAATTTCCAGGCTCCGTGGCGATTTGGTGAAGCTAGGAGTACAGAGTTGCAGCCAGCTCGCCCCGGACAAAGGGAAATTTCAGTCTTGATCCCAATGGGGATACCAGACATGGAATTTGCTGCCACTGCTCGACCTATAGAAAACCGACACGAAGCAGAGCTCGCTTCTTCCAAATAGCCAGCCAGCCGCAAACCAAACATGAGCAGAAACGAAGGAAGACACTAAAAAAATCATGCCAAGAGCAGCGATGAAAGGAAGGAATACCAGCAAATGGCTCTCCAACCCAAAGGCCCAATGCAGTCCTGCCTTTCCGGGATGGCATCGCTGAGCTCGCCGGCCTGGTGGACAGAAACACAAGGCTTCCATATAAGCGTTTACTCCTCTCTCTTTTTTTTGGGGGGCCCTTGTTGGTTGGCTGGAACGCTTCCATTTGTTTAAGACCCCTGGAAAAATTCAAATATATCCAGTAGTGATAGATTCCCTTTGAGGGGAAAATGAAACATGTTCATTCAGCAAATGGAAGAACGAGAAACCCAGAACCAAAAAAAAGAGAGCAGGTCCTCCATTTGTGGCCAGGGCTTGCCGCCCCCACCAGGGAGGCATCATACCGAGACCTCCCAAACCAGTACCTCACAATGGGACATCTTAGAAGTCTAATCTGGGCTGCCCTCAGATCCCCCGCTAGAAGTTTAACTTTTAGCGGGTTAAATGGAAACTACCACTAAACGCTAAAAGGCTAAAAGGCTAAGGGGATGGCTGGGAGCCACCAAGTAATGAGTACCTTACGTGGGTTGATGCGAGCAAATCCCACGGAAACTTATAAACTGGGAATATTGCATGGGGTCATCCAAGTGATGGGGCCACGGATCATGGCCTAAAACAGGCTTTGGCTGGGAGTAGGCGATCCTTTCGTAGGAGACAACCCTTCTGAGTGCTTCTTGGCACACATGAGGTAAGAGTGTGGCTGCAAAGGTGAAAATGAATAAACAAGGCAACCAACCTCACTCCCATTGAACACCCCGGTTGGTTCCTTCTGAAGCCAATGCTCAAAAATAACTGCTTTCCCACGAGGATCAGCAAGAGGAGCTGGGAAGGTACTGACTCCCCCAGCTGTTTTAATGGGAAACTGGGTGGGTTTGGCATGTCCCTCAAGCATTGACCTAATGAACCACCACTTTGTCTGCCCAGAACCGCCCCGTCCCGATGAAAAAAGGGTGTCTCTCTTCGGTACCGGCACAACAGGTGCTTCCCTTTGGTGCCATCCATGCTCATTCCCAAGCTCAAACCAAAACAAAAAGGCAGCTCCAAAAAGCGTCTCGCCCGCGCGTCCCGCCTCTCTGGGATTCCTCGCCAGGCTCTCGCACTGCGGCGGCTTTCGGACGGCACGGCTCAACCAAGCCGGTGGACTCCCACCCCGAGACCACAGCCGTGGCCGGTTCTTGGTCTAAGCGTGGCCTTCACTGGGACCGGTTTTTTTGGGCCCCTTCGGAGCGAGCGAAGGGCCGAAGGGAAGCTTGCTGGCAAGACCATCTGGCTCAGCTTCCGTGTCAGAGGGAGGGAGGCTAAATTGTGGCTATAAAAACCAGTCCGAGAAACACCCCGCAGAATTGAGTGGAGGGTCTTTGGGCCCGGAGGGTGTTGGGGCCCTTTGGATACTTTGTGGTTGACTTGGACCGTGCGCTCAAAGGGCGAATATTCGTTGTGTGGACTGCTGTGGATGGACCAAATCCTTTTCGCACCGGTTCGAAACCACGGGAGCCATTGCTTGGTGGAATTGACGGACGACACCATCATTCCAGGGAATCTTAGGTGGTGCGAAATGGATTTTGTGCATTCACAGTATGCTCACTGAAAGCTCTTTTTCGGAGTTTGTGTGGCGTGCGCGACTTTTTCGGGGCCAAGCGCCCACTCAACCCTTTCCTTCTACAGGGAAACCACTGGGCTTCCACCATGGAGGGACAATTCCAAGTGCTTGGAGACCCATCGCAAGGTTGGAATCCAGCGGGCCTTCCAGCTGAACTGGTGCTGAGAAGTCTGAAACTGGGGAAGTGAGTCGAATTTGATCCATGGTCGTAGCCAGCTGGGAAGTATCACAGGGCCTCTTTCCAGCCCTGTACAACCTTGCCAGGAACTCCCAAGCCGCACCTTTGGCTCAACTGCGAAACGCCTGAATTCTCACCCGCGCCTCTTCACGGACCAAAAAGCGCGTCCACCGATCCGCTTTGCCTCGCCTGCAGGGTGTTGAAGAAGAAGATGGACACCGAGTCCATGAAGAACTTGGAGCGCGCGGAGTTGTGGTCCCCCTCCACCATGATGAAGTTCTGCGATGCTCGGGGGTGCTGGGCGCATCTTTCGGAGCTGCTGCCGCCTTGTTGGGTGTTTTGTTTAAGGGAAACCATCATTAAAACCGCGATGTTGCGCTGCGGTTAAGGGAAACCCTGCAGGAAGATCACTACTTATGGGTTGTTGGTGGTTTCTAAGGGAAAGAAGGAAAACCACCATGGAGGAGTCCCCCAAGAAGACAGACCCAAAGAAAGCCAGCGATCCGGTCAAAGCGGCTCGCGATGACCAACGTGGATCCCCAGAAACCAGCAATCTTTGAGGAGGAAAACACTTGTCCTGAGACTGTCCCTCATGTGGCTTCCTTGTGGTCTGAAAACGGTCGTGTGTTGAATGGTTACAAGTTGTATCTTTCAAGCAGCCCTGCAAACTGACCGAGGACCGACACGCTCTTTCATCCTGGAAAATGATGAACAAGCCCAGGCTCATTGCTCGGCCGTGTCCCAGCCTAACACGCGAATTTCGCCAGTAGAATTATTGACTTGAAGGCTCGAGTTCTCCCTGGGTCGTTTTCTCATGGTCCACAGTGAAAAGGTGGCACAAAATGTACGTACATTTTAGGGGACCCCAAAAAGTCTCCTGTTTTCAACGTGTGCTGCTGTTGCTGTTTTCAACCTGGTGGAGTGCGGCCACCAAACTCGCCGCACAGAAATCACGGACGTCAATGTATTGCTCCGATTGGGCCTGGAAAGATCGGGTTGGTTGGAAAATACATGCCGGTCAACATGATGGCGAATGACTCACCATGGAACATGCGAGAACTAGGGTTCCGTCCTTTTGCTTTTGGTAGAAAATTTAGAGTGTCCCCCCTCCCGACCATGGACTACCTGACTTTTCGACCAAGCCTTGGGTGATTTTGTTAAGGGGACCTTTGGTGGATTTCATGTCCAGCCAGTTTTTCCATATCCCTCCAAAACCAACTGGGTCAAATTTACAATCCTCCAAAGCAAATGGAAGCTGAGAGTCTGCAACAAAGAGCTTGCATGTGAGGTAAGGGCTTTCCAGCAGGAGACCCCTACATTCCACTTCAACAAAATACAGGAAGCTGTGGTGGGAGTATTCAACACGGAAAATCAGACGCGGCACCTCAAAACAAGCGCGGTCCAAGAAAAATACGAGGAGAATACATCTGGGCACAGCGCTGTGCAATGGGTTGTCCGAAGATCTCAAGAACCCGCCAGGCCCGTGCCTTTCTGCCGCGCAGGTCTCCAAACAACCAAAAGAAGCTTCCGGCAACAAATGCACGAGCATCGCCCCAAATTTGCAACTCGTGTTCAAGAAGGATGAGGTTCACGTTCAAATCACCAAAACGATTCTGCTCACCTATCACTCAACCAGGGGATGAGGTGCAAAATTAACATCGCCCCAAAGCTTTGGCTCGGACCCTCACGCGCTGGACGCTGACAAACGCCTTCCCGCACGGAGAGTCTCACGGCTTCGCGCTTCGCACCGCGTGTTGGCTCAGAAAGAAAAAAAAGAAGAACAAAACACGCGCGCGCGCACGCGCGCGCATGCGCATGCGCATTCGCATTCGCGAGCGCCTTGTCCCCGGCGTAGGCGGCATGGAGCTCCTTCGCGTGGTGGGGCTTGATGAAGTGGTCATTGTACCTGGGGCTCGAACTGATCCGATTGCTGTGCCACAGGTACTTGGTGTTCAACGGGTAGTTGATAAAACACCAACCAAAGTCAGGTAGGTTATTCAACCAACGGGCAGGTAAGTAGGTTATTAGCCGGGGGAAGGGGACCATCACCCAAGGTACCCCAGTCATAACCATGGTAACCTACTTGCTCAGTCGGTTGAACAGCCAAGTAGGGAATGACCTTTGGGGTGTTGGGAATGAACCAGTCTTGGGGATTGCCGAAAGGAAACCATAGGATGGATGGTTTAGTTTATAGCAGGTCATTGCAACTCATTCCCTCGAAAACACCAGCAAGTGTTGTGACTTTAGAGGGCACCCAGCTAATGAAACGGAAACCAACCAACCCCTGTGCAAACTCATGGCATGTAAAATGTTGTGTCTTTGAGGCGCTGGTTGGCCTAAAGGAAAGCAACCAGAAACCCCGCCCATGTTCAAGGAGTCCCCAGGTTGACGCATACCCTTTTGGGTTTCAGTTGCATTTAGAGAAAAGAACCACAGGACCAGAAGGCTGTGACTGCTCAAAGGGAGCCCTAACCCCCCCTTGTCGGGTGTAGGCATTCAGTTCGCTGCAGCCAGTGGAGGAAGGTGAGTACCCCTAGTCAGCTCCATGTGTTTTTTTTCCCCGCGTGAAAAATGAGGTCTGCAATGTCTCCCGCTGCGAGTTGGCTCCGAAACAGTATATGGCAAACAGCCGGTGACAAGGTACTCTTGCCCAAGCTTAATTGGAAGAGGCTCAAAAGCCCAGGTTGGTTGACAAGATAGCGTTTCTTCTGAGTTGACGCTTTGTGAAGCCCAGAAAGAAAATCTAGTTTAGAGGAAACCAAGTGGAAAAGCCTGCATCCTTCCCCCTTTTACAGGGCATGCCGGGCCTTTCAAGAACATCGCTCAAGAAGCGAGCCAGGACCCCGGGGGCCCCGGCGCCGCAGTGAAGAGGGCGGGGATGAAGGACTGAGACACGTGCCTCGGGGGGTTTTGCCGTGTGAGTCTGCAGCCCGACTTCGCCCGAGAGATGCAGCGTCCCCGAGAAATGGAATGACCCGTTCTCAACCACCCAGGCGGGTTCCTTCTCCGAAGGACCGAGCAGCAAGTTGCTTCTTTGATTGGTAGATGTGCGATTCGGGGGGTTTCTGGTGGGATTTGAGCTTGGGGATTTGAGTTTCGGGCCATTCGAGGATTTGAACCCCCCAGTTTCTCAAACCAAAATTCGTGAAACCCCAGCTCAAGACAAAAAGAGGGCGATTTTGGGTTTGGATTGCACGACCCACAGAAAAAACTCATGGTGACGGGTTTAAATATTTCGGGGTCGTCCAAGAAGCTGGGTGTGGCTCCAGCTGCCACAAAAAAAGAAAAACTCCCCCAGAAGTGTGCAGCACCAAGCCGCATGCTGTGTGCTGCCATTGCACCACGGGCCCCTGAACTCTGCGTTCGAGCTGTTTTCTAGACACATGGAGCATATCATGGCTTCCCTAAAACAAGACAAAAGATGCCAGACAAAAAAAGAAAGAAAACACGCAAGAAAAAGGGGTCCGTCCGCAAGAGACGAACAACGCCTCTTTTGACAGAACAAACGTGTTCAGGTTTTCAGCTGTGAGAACCGCCCGACCACCCCAAGCCGGCTTCTTCGAAAAGAAATTGAACATCACATGAATGCTTTCGGGACACCCAATCAGACTTTCCGAGCCATGACCTCCAAAAGTGGAGTTTCCTTTCTTGGTTGACGTTGGAAGGGGAGCAACAATTTTAATTTTAGCGCAAAAATGTTGGGATTTCCCACTGTAAAATGGTTCCCAACAACAACCAGCAACAACTTAAATTTTAGCGCAAAAATGTACAATGGTTCCCAACAACAACCATGTTGCAAGGGAAACCCGCAACTTGAAGGGACCCCCCGCCGCACGGGCACCAGGTCGTGGAGGTCGAAATCCGCATGCGTGCTGATGGAGCTGCGCACCTCGAACCGACGTCCGCCGCGATTTGATTTGTATCTTATGTTGTTCATGTTGTTGTTGTTTGCTTTTGTTTGCTTGCTTGTTTGCTTGTTTGTGTGTTTGTGCGTGCGTGCTGTGCTTTCTTTCTTTTCTTAGTCTTTTTTGTGGGGGGAGGGGGGGAAATTCTGATTTGTTGGTCTTGTTCCGTGTTGTTTGTGTGTGATTGTTGTTGTTCGGTTGGGAGGGCGGGTTATGATTTCAATGTTTGACTAATTTGACTTGATGTTGGGTGGTTTTCTTTGTTGATGAATACTCAATCCAAAAAAACATCATCTTCCTGCGATACGGTCAATGCCCCTACCATCTACACACACCATACCCAGTGTTGGTGTTTTGGTGGGTCCCCAAAGCGGGGTGTCAACAAAAAGAAGCAGTTGGAGCGCTTTGAAAGGGACTTTGAAACGATAGAATGAGCCCCTTTCCAAGGATAGTAAGCATCTCCTGCTTTGGAAGACTAGCCATAGTAACATCTTCTCGGAAAGGCCCCCTCTGTCCACGTTGATTTGGGGAAAGGTTATTGGGTGGCTCCCCCTGTCCCTCCAAGGCTCCTGGAAAATCCCAAAGGCGGTGGCAAACAGAGGTAAGCATGGTACCCTACCCGAACCGTCGCCAGTTGCCAGCAATCAATCAGCTTCCGTGGTTCGTAGTAAATCCAAGCTCTTCGGCATAGGTGACCAGCCGTTGTTTCCAAATGTTCTAATTCGAGAACAAACCCCTTCAGGATTCCTGGAACCCCAAAAATCGCACCAAGGGAGATATGGCCAAAAAGATGATGTGGTGTGTGCGTGTGTGAATTTTCATGGACCCTTTGGTGGACATCTCAAGCCCCCAATCCCTGACTCAGGGAACCACCCCTGCCCCCACTTCGAGGAGCCGGCCATCTGCAGCGCGATTCCGGTGACCCACCTGGACGTTGAAAGCCCTGCATGTTTCCCCTACCAAACTCCGTCTGCAAACGGGAGACTTTAGCCTAAACCCGCGAGAGGTGTTGTGGGTATTTGGGTCCGAGCTTCCTGGATGGAGATGCCTCAGACCCGTCTGAACGTTTCCGAAAAACCTTCCCTCAGCAACTGTTTGTTCCCATGATTCTGCTGTTGATATTTGCTGCGCAGCTTCTTTCCCCCCCAAACTTGGCCAACCCCCTCTTTACCGGCCCATGGAACCCACAAAACCACGACATGGCGGTTTTCCTCTTGGGACGTCCTTTCCTTTAACGCCAACTGCAGCAAAAGGAGTAGACTCAAAAAATTGGACGAGCCTCCGGCCCAGTAAAAACACCACTGGACCGGATCAAACCAGAAGCCCCGGTGGAGAAAACACCAAGGAGAAACCGAACAGTTCCAAAAGGGAGAAAGGAACAAAAACCCGCAGAAACCAAGAGACAAAGAACAGCACAGAGAAAGGAAAGAAACACCCACAGGGAGAAGGGAAACCCTCCAACACAAGGAAAAACAAAAAGCACCAGTTCAGTTCAACAAAGCAGTCCACAAAATGTGCTTCGGTGCATTTTGGTGCTTCCCTATTTACACCACAACCAGATACGCCAAGAATCGAAGGAAGCACAAACCCGAATGGCTATCTGAATGGGAAGCACCCGTGGACTGACGTGTTGCGCAAAGGGTTCGAAGAATTCACATTCAAAATCGATACCCGCAACGCAAGTGTATGAAGACTCACCAAGAGGCTCCTGACAAATGCTCTGACCCATCTTGCCTGGTGGTTAAGGACACCAAAAACCCGCCAAGCGCTCCGTCGAGATGGGCGATTTCGATACCCAAGAGTTGGGCAAACCACGATGGGCAGTCCGGCAGCCCCGCGCTTTCCGGGTTGCTGGGTAAACCCGGGCTGGAATTCCAAGGAAACCACCGGAGCAGGGGTCCGGCATGATCCACATTACCCCCGATTCCGAATCGGTGGTTGCCTCGCAGTCTGGAAATATGTCTTGGATAAGTAGAGACCACGGACTGTTGGGAAATCGAGTTGTCCCCGACCCCGACCCAAACAATGAGAAAGGACTGACAGAAATATGAGCCCTTGGGGCCCTGAGTTTGGCTCAAAACCAGTTGAGGCCCCAACCAAATCAGTGGGCTTTCCCTTTTGTTTACCAACCTTTTCCACCAACACCGAAGGGTAACCCCCGAAACAATGGCCGCGACTGCGCTGTTCCGCTTGGAGTTGATCCCTATTTCACCCACCCCATAATCGTCCGTCTCAACATAGGGAACCCCCTTCTTGGATGCTTCTGAAGGGGAACAAAGCCAAAAGGAGGCCATCAAACGAAAATTCCAGCTGCAGGCGGTCTACCCAACGTTTACAGAAGCCTTCCCCCCCCCCCACCCCGAACCGCTCCCCCCCCAAACCAAAACGTTTGGAGAAACCTTCCCCCCCCCCCTCCAGGACCTGCTTCCCCCGAACCAAAACCCGAACCTTTGGAGACCCCCCCCCCCCCCCATTTTCCCCGTCCCCCACAACCTGCTTCCGCCCGAACCAAAACCCCAAAAAAAACTCCATCCGGGGACACCTTGGCACGCGGCTGTTGGTGTAGCTGTCCACCAGCTCCTCGCAGAGCACCTCGGCGGTTGGCTGATTGAACAGGGATCCTTACAACGAATACACCTGAACATTGCAACTTGTAAATGGTGGTTTCCCGTTATTTAAGTGTTGAAAAAGCAACATGTTTCAAATGGTTGCAAAATGTATCTTGTAAGGAGCCGGGGGCGGGGGGTTTCTCGGTCCATATGAACCCAATGGCCATTTGGGCCCCCAAAGTTGGTGGAAAGGTGGGGGCTGGTCCACTTAAAACAAAACAACACGGAAGGAACGATTAGTTCACCCATAAACTAGGGGTTCATACCCGGGAAACAATTTGTGGACATATATGGGCGAATGAGGCCCGCAACAAGCAGGTTGCACAGAAAAAGGCATCAAGTTGGACGCGAGCCGGTGCTTGGGCCTCCGGAAGAATCCACGGCTGGACAGTCAAAAGCAACACGAAATGTCGGTGGTTTGGATTGGTATGAAGTCAATTGATGACACCAAAGAAACCACCCCCCATTCCAAGCGCAAGGCTTTTGGAAAGTCGAAAGGTAACAAGAGGTCACCAAGAGGAGCGTCGCTTTCCTTTGGTGCAAGGGGTCCTGGCAACCCATGTTGGTTGTGAGGGCAGGAGGGTGCATTACAACGACCCCTGGACGTGATACAACACCGCTGGTAAAAACACTGCTAAACCAGTTGTCTTGTTTGAGGCTTGGTACCCATTTTGTATGGTGTTCAAAACGGAAACCAGGAGGAATCCAACCGGGCACGTTTCGAGCGACATGTCCCCTTGGCCAACAGGCAAAAAATACACAAGGCCTCTAGTGCCCTCAATCCCAGTACTTCGCTTCTCCTGCAGGTCATGCTAACAAATGCACTGGGTGCGAAAGTTAAGGTCCCGGACCCCTAAAAAAAACAAATGTCCACCATTTAAATTCATAGCCCTGTATTCCCAGGCAAAGGCCTCCCTTCTCGGCAAAGCAATCGACGCTTCGGATGTCCAGCTTCGGAATTGACGCAACCACACTCCATTGATTTTGTGCCAAAAAGGGATCCCCCCCCCTGTGTTTGGGCCGTACGAGGTCTGTTAAAAAGGCAAGTAACATGGAAGAATCCCAAACCACAAGGGATAGTGCTCCTGCCACCCTGGGCCATCCCCACTACACCTTCTGATAGACTCTGCTGCTATCACAGGTAGACATGATTCTTCCTGGGTCGAGACGCCTGCAGACCGACCACGCTGTTGTGTCACTGATGCGAAGCTTCCATTGAGCAACGAACCTAAGCATTTGGCGCCATATGGATGTGTGTTTTCACACGCTGGCTGGGTGTGGACCTCAAAAGTCAAACAGCCCCAGGTCAAAGGAGCGAGAATGTCAATCACCTCCAGCAAGCCAGGATCCATGGTCCATGGTCCACCCCCACCCATCCAAAACGCACATCCATGTCATTTCCCTTCGGGGCCTGAAGAACCCGAGTCGACTTGAGTAAAAAAGAATCGCAGCGACCAAAAACCAACCAGGTGCTTTGGAGTGCTCCCCATAGTAAGCTTAGTAAACATCACCCCGAGCGGAAACCCAGCTACAGTCAGCCTCACGAGGAGCGAAGTGGCTTGGGACATGCACTGACTAGCGAGGGCACCACTCATCCAGTCCCACAACAGGGAACCCCTGTTTGGGATATAAACATAGAACGTGAAACCAACAAAAAAAAGCCACCCACCCGCAACGGATCCCCGCAAAAAAAACCCGCCTTGAGGTCCGAGAAGGGACTGTCCAGCACCAGCCCCGCAATGGAAGGATCGCCTCAAGCGCGGAATCGGCGGCGCGGGGACCAGAAGTCCGTCGAACGCAGAGAGGACGGAATCTCGTTCCGAAGATTTCTCGGGGGAAGGGCGCGAGCGGCCTTTCTGATCTCCGTGATCTCCGTTTCGTTTCCCCCGGAAGAAGAAGAAGAACAAAAAAAAGGAGGCGAAGCAAAGCACCGCTCAAAAAAAGGGAGCCACCTCGACCCATGGTCCCACCAAAAGCTTCGGCTCGGATTTGGATGACTCAACTCTCACACCCCTTCTCACCAACGCATCTCTTCTTGCTGAAGCCTAACCCAGGGTGCCCGCATCAGTTTCTATTTGGGCTCACTCACCCGGGCTTTGATTGTGGCTCATGTGAGTCATAATCAAAACCTGGTACAGACCCAAAACCATGTAAAGAATTGAAAAGGCGGCCGCACCCATTTATGGCTGGAATTATCCCTTAGACCCTCCAATTAGCCGGGCTTTGATTGTGGCTCATGTGGGCCCTGTGCTCTTTCTCCACCGAAAACCGCTTCAACCGGCGACTGAAAAAAGTCGGGTCCAATTGAGAGCATCCTGATCGGTGAACCAAGTCATGCTGTCAACTCTCCCAACTGGCTTCCCGAGAAAAACCCACTCCGCAAGTATGTTGCTTCAAACCCAAAGAAAAGACGAGCTTGCAGTTGGGTAAATTTGGCTTCTTCTGTCTTGCTTGCCAGCAAAAAAGGGCTGCGCCATCCACAGAAAGGATCAAAGATGGACGTTGTTCAAGTAACCAGAAGACCAACCAACAAAAACAAACCCGCAAACCCCACAATCCCACGAAACCAAGAAATTCACCCACAACTTTGTCACTTCAGTGTTTTTTTTTGTTGGGGGGGATATTAAGCTCTTCAGGTCCCCATTGAAGATGGGACTTGCATGATTCCAAATGTCCAACACATCCCTGGCTCCGCTCCTTGGCTGCTTGCCCACCAAAACCACAACTTTGGCCAACAAAAACAAAACCGTCCAACTGGAAAACCCCTGCAAAACAAATTGAAAACCTCTTGAAACCCCTAAAACCGCACAAAAACCCCAGAAAACCCCAGAAACTCCCCCAAAAAGAAGAACTGTCAAAAACCCCCCGGCCAAGCGCCGGAAAAGCGCCACCCCACAACTCCAGCCCCGAATCCACTGCGAGCCGGCCCCTCGCACCCGCGATACGGGCGCGCATTCGCCGTGCGGCGATCCGCATGGAGCAGCGCGGTGGAGGCGCCCATGGACCGGCCCCACAGGCCTCGGCTGAAGCGCCGGACCGCCGAGTCGAGTTGGGTGAGCCGACTGGGGAGCAGCAAAGGGACTTCAGGCTCTATGCTGGGTATCATGCTAGGTGCCGAAAGAAGAAAAGAAAAAACTGAAGGAGCAGGACTTGCGAGAATGCGGGAAGCTAAAGCCTTGCTGCAAGCATGACTATTATACGGGAAACCAAAGGAACACCCACAATTTTGGGAAGGGAGGCGGGGTGTCCATTTAACATTCGAATCCTTGGGAGCAACCCTTTGGTGGGACATCATTTGCTGGAGTTGTGTCCACCAACCATTTTGGATGATATTGCTTGTAGCGATTCAGAGGCATTTGTTGAAGCCCAAGGGGGTGAGTGGCTGGAACGCAAGGGGGAAAGCAAGGCTGGTAATTTCCATGTTTTGCATGGTCATTTTGAAGTCTATCTTGGAGTTTTCTTAAACCTTGTAAGAGCGATCCCTGCGCTTGTGCCCATCAAAACACAAAATGGAAAACGCTTGATGACACTGGAGCGGCAAAAGAGTAGGTTGGATGTCAACAAACAATAGAGCCTCTTTTCAAAAGGCTCTCCTTTTGCGCTGCGAGCTTTTGCCATGGGTCAAGAAGAACTGGTTGGGATCAGCAAAAGTCACCCTTTTTCAACATGCACCCTGTTCGCAAATCTGTTGCAATGGGTCCCAAAACAAAGCAGGTCGGGATTACGGGCCCGTTTTCACGAATGCCAAAACTACCCAGAAAATTGGCCGGCAGAGGTTCTGTTTCTGGTTCGGAGGTTCGGACAAAGGTGGTTTGCCCAACTAACACAAGGCGGAACCGCAAAGTCAACCCACCTGGTTCTGCCGGCTCAAAGCAAACACCATCCTGGTAACATTTCGCCCACAAATGTTGGCCAGGTCAAAATGTTGTACCCACTATTGTGTCAACAACCTCCTGTTGGTTTTCCTTCAGAAGGGGCCAGGGTCTTTGACGAATTTCGCTCGACCCCCTGTCTTGGCCGGACATCGATCGAATCGACTTAGTGTTGAATTGGTACGGCTCGGTCTCAAGATAGGGGACTTCCATACTAACAAATGGGAAGCTACCAATTTACCCCTACCTTGGTATTAATACCAATTTACCCCTACCAATTTACCCCTACCAAAGGGTGAATGGCATTCTTGGCCTCGGCATACCCTTTTGGCCCCGCGCCGATGCAGGTGACGCGGCTGGACTCCCGGAGGAAGTCCACCACCACGGCCAGGTCGTCCCGCTCGAAGTAGCCCAGGCTAATGTACCTGAGCTGCCCCAATCTTATTCAACCCTTTGCCATGGCCTGGGGGCTGGCTCAAGCTCTCATCTCTGAAGATGAGCTCGGGTCTGAGGCTTGCTCGAATTCGACCCGAACGGCACAAGGTAGGTCCCTAAGGGGAAACAAATTAACAACCAAGCCGATTTCCTAGCGCTGATATTTGATGATTCGGGTCAGAAAGGACAAACAGGGCTCCTACAAAAACGGTTCGTGGGGCTTCCTCGTTTTGATGGTACCCTCGGTGTTTTGGGGCATGGAAGAAAATGGAGACCCTGCGGTGTGTTTCTTCCCTCAAGATCTGCAAGCAACAAAACCCATAAACCTGAGCAACCCCATCGCCCGGAACATGCGCTGCGCACTCCCCGTCGGAAAGCCCTGAGCCGGCGAAGTCAAGGCAGAAGACCTCAGTCCAGTTAGAAATCTGTTGGCGAACTTCGGCCCTTTTTGAGAACTGGGTCTTGAGTCTGCGAACTGGGTCTGATTCCTTTTTTTTGCGCCTTGTGTCGTTCCCATCAAGTCCATGTGCGCTTTGCTTGAGTGAGCCAGAAATGGGAACCCCGGACGAGTCAACCCCTGATTGAGCAATAGGAAGGGGGTGCAGCCCACAGGGGACTTGGGTTGAAGCAGCCCCAAATGAATCCGACCGGTTTCAGTCGAAGCGTTTTTACTTTTCGCCAATCCCAAAAGTAAAAGTGAGAAGTTGTGTGAAGCCAATCAATCCCAAGAGTGAGAGGTGGGAAGCCTTCCGCTGTCCTCCCGGCTTCCCTCCCGGTTTCCGCGCCTTGGGCCCTTGCGCCTTGCGAATTTCGAGGCGCCGGCGGTGATGTTGAAGGGCAGCAGCACCGGCAACGTGCTCACCGCCTCAGGGAGGGCTGGGGCCACCTTGTTGGATCTACTTCTGTTCTTTCTTTTGAGTCTCCCCGTACCCCTGGCGTGCTTCTTTTTTTTTCTATGGGAAACCAAGAGGAAACGGTTCGGCCTTTTGTGGGGTCTTTAAAAAAAAACGCGGCCGTTTTGGAGGTGTTATATATATATATATATATAAAGGGAGCCCTCGTAGAGGCACATCATATGAGCCACAGTCAGAACCTATGGGTGTGTGTCAGAACAAGAAAGCCCTGCAAATGGCATTATTTGGTCAGCTGATCAGTCTGATTCTGGCTTCGCAAGACTCAGGGGTCCCTGACCCCTACGGCTGCCTTGGGAGGATCTCTTTGCTTGCACTAGAACCTTCAGCTCAAAATTTACAGGTCTCATAGTCTGAAAGTATCAAGGTCAAAAATCGAAAAGTTGCAAAACAGATTCGGTCTCAAAAGCAAAACGAAAAGCTACCAAAGTCGGAAGTCTAAAAGATTGTCTCCAAGTCGGAAGCCAAAGGCCTAGCACCAGGCGCGGAAGTTTTTGCAACGCCGTGGCCTCCAGGCGGCTGCTGCAGTTGCCGTGGAGGTACACCACGCAAGGCAACCGCTCCGCCGGCCGCTCCCTCAAAAACCGGAGCTCAGCCATTTTAAAAAAAGAAAGAAAACAAAAAAATGCGCCAGGCGGTGGAGTGGGCGGCGCGTCCTTTTTTGGAGCCTTGGAGCCTCAACAGGGCCGTGTTTTCCAAAAATCCCACGGCAAAAGGAGATATACCAACTCCAAGAAAAGAGGGAGGACCGCGGCCGAATGGGTGTTTCTAAAAATTGTGGTCCCCTAAATTGGCAACGATCTCCTCTTGGCTTTTGTTTCGCTACATAAGCGGGAACGAACACCATTCTGAGAAGCCCCCACATGGGTCTTTCAGTTCTTGCCGGTACAGTGGATGCCCCGCCATATTGAAGGGGAACAAAGAACCGCCTAATTTACCGTGGTTTGCGATGATTTTGGGTTGGTTTGCTTGCAATACTTGAGGAATCACCGTACAAAGGGGATTCAAGGGGATACCAAACTCACATAGGAAATGCGTGAGGAACCAAGTTCCAGCTCCTACTCTGTTTGGGGCTGTAAAGAGAATTCAAAGGGATGCCACCCTTTGTGGGAGTCCCCTTATTCAGCAGGTGTAAACATAGCGTACCCAATGTCATCCACTTAACTACAGTAAATGACAGTAAGTATGGAACGTATGTGTATGTGTGTACCCCACTCGTTCTGGACCAAAGGGCTGGCTTCAGCCATCATCAAGCCATAATCAGGGTGACCAGGCACAAATTTGCCACAATCAACCTTCAAGGGTTGCCTCAGGGCTAACCAAAAACCGCCAGTTTGCCAGCGTCGTGTCTGCCAGCGCTGTTGTCAACTTAGACAGAAAATCATGGCACTGCTGAAAGGAAAAGGACAAGTCGTGACTTGAGTTGTTAAAGCTCCCTCATGTAGGTACCCTGTTGACTTACGGAAAGTCAAGCACGACTCCGCAATGTTCCCCCTTGCACCCATCGTCTCCATTGACAGGGGTAACGTTTGCCATCCGCACCAGTTTGAAGGAACCCCTTCCTTTCGCACGCGTCACATTGCGCCAACTCCATCAGGCTCGACCATCTTTCTCCGGGGAAACTCACCGAACAAAATCAGAAGCGACCCAAGTCTTGAGCACAGCTCACACGGAACGGATGTGGTAGACCCGGGTCGGAGTGGGCAAATGAGACATATGGTCGGTGTTCCCAAACTGGGTTGATCAAAATGGAGGGTTGACCACTCCTGAACCATGAGAAAACCACTCCAAGGGCCAAATTCTTCCGTGACCCTCAGAGCTTTCAACTTGGCAAACCTGGGAGGAATCTAGGGATCCATTTTGTTGAGGCGAAGGGTCAGGCTTCACAGACCAATCAGGGGCAATTCAAGCCTCAAGGCCTGAGGCCGTGCGCCCTTCGGGCGTAGGGACTTAAGCCTTGTGGCCAGACTTGATCTATTCGTCCCTACTCTGGACGGACGAAATCCAGAAATCGCCTCACCTAAGAAACCCAACGGAATGATCCGATTCCCCTGTACATGCTAACAAACGTTGTGGTTTCAACCCTGGATTCCAAGAGTAGGGGGACTTTGGGGTGCACCCCTGACGCCGGGGCCCCCAACGCGGCAATGGGCTCGAAGTGGCTACACCTCACATTCGATGTTGATTCGAGTCGGCGCAGCAAACCCAAATCCCGGGGGAATGGGTTTGTCTCGCCCCAAACCCATTGACATTTGAGTCTACAGTACCCCCGAGACCGTGGCAAGTCAATATGGGCAGCTGAGGGAATTGAGGTGAAACCGACAGATCTCAGCATGATATGTCAGCTCAAGGCGGACGTAGGTGTCACTGTACCCGCACGCTCATAAAGATAAAGATGGCCCTTTCTGTAGCCCTCATGAATGGAACCACCTACTAAAATAGCCAACAGGGGTTTTGGGCGCTGGTTTTGGGCGCTGCTCAAAGGGGGACTGCCCCGCAAAATGGGTGATCTCAATCAAACTTGCATCGCCGATGTTTGAGCCGTTGACACGGAATTTTGTAGATGTTCCCGCCCTCAAGAAATGTCCAACCCCTGTCCTCCCAAATGAGTCGCAATCAAAACCTGGTACTAAAATGGTCTACCCAGAACCATGTACAGGATTAAGAAGGCGGCCGCAGCTATTTATGGCTGGGATCGTCCCTTGCTAACCTTCATCTACCCGGGTTTTGAGCAAGTGGCTCAAATCGCCTTCTCGTCATCTCCAATGGAGTGCCCCATCTCACCCGCCGAACTGGATCGACGAATCGACGAATGCGAATCGACGAATGGGCGCCCCCTGCACGATGGTGAGCCCCCGCGGGTTCTTCAGCGTGAGGTCTGTGCGCTGGTACGTCCGGTGCCTCGAGAAAGGGGACAAACCCCCAAACATACCATGGTCAAAGCTCCGACTCTGCAGTCATGGTCATTCTTTGCCGGAAAATCCTTTGCCGGTTCCCGAAATTCCCACTCCCATCCAAACCAATCCGGATCACCTGATCCGAATGAAGCACCTGGTGTTCGAGATGGCCTTTGGAGCGAAAAGCCTCAAACGCCCCTAAGAAACTCAGTCTGAAACGACGAACGGGATTCCTTTTTCAAGGGGTAAGCAGCAAGAACCACCAACCCAAATGCCCTTACCAGCAAACACGGGTACGATCCGTATTTAAATTGCTTCCTTTCCGAAGCCAACCCCAACAAGGCCACCTGGAAACCACACAAAGGCTGCAAAAGCTAGAACATGCCGCAGAAATCAGTCAGAGACCGCAAAGGCGCAGGACAAACAATTACACGGGGCCCTACTGCGAAGACCACTAGCCATGGCTTCAACGCCGACTGAGTTCCAAGCTCAATGCTGAAAACCGCCGGGCCCAAGTCCTGTGACTTGTGACAGCGACCCAGCTGATCGAACCACCGGCCTGGATCCGAGCGAAATCCCTGTCTCAAGCCGTGTAAAGACGGACAAGACCCCCAAAAATTTTGGAGCAATCTTGCGAACCCAAGATGCTCACTTTAATCCGATTGATTAAACTGGGACCCAAAACTCAAGGAGCCGCATCCTGTACAAAAACGCAGCTTAAGACGGCAAGGCGTTCAGCTCACAAGTCAGTTTGGAGTAGCTTGCAGTTCGCCAGTCGATTGGTTGGGCAACATCCTTTCGGTTCTCCAGGCAAGGCCTTGGTTGAAACACCAGGCATGGCAGGTTGAAACCCTAAATTTGTTTTCCCTTGCCCGAGGCAAACAGAGCAAACCAAAAGCCGGACGCAAGTCCATTCGGAACAAGGCCATAGCAAGTGGCTGTGGGTCAAAATTGGGTACCAAATGGAACCCTGGTAATGGAAACCAGGACTAAACCCTAGTTTAAGTTTGACCCATACTTAAACAAAGCCACATGATCCCGTGGTCCAAAAGGCTTGAGGGCTCATGTGGGTCTGGACTCCGCCTCAAGTTGATTCCATGAGGGCCATGACCCAATGCGTCCAGCTACAGTCGGTGTTCTCAGGGGTGTCAACCCACAGTAAAGCCTAGAGGCAATACTGACACACCTTGCTATGCCTCTTCCACTGGTCAGGTTCTCCAGCGACCCCTTCTGCCCCCAAAAAAAACAGGAGATCGGGGCGTTGCTCAGATCAAAATGCCCAGACTCACACCAACGGCTTCGAGTCTTCTGGCAGACTCGCCTGCCAACTCGACAGTATTTTGGCAGGAGCCGCCGTGTGATACTGCGGATGGACGACATCCTGCCCCACTTTGCAACCATGGTCAACCATTGTTTGTTGGAATATACCTTGGGGAATCGGATCATTCCCTTACATTTCTGAGTCCGATGGTGAAATCGATTTCCGGATGTCACGACACCATCAGGACTTACATGGCCCTGAGGTTAAAAAAAATGCGAGTTTGGGCTTCAATCCTCGGGCAACTAGAAATGGCCCTCCCCCTTGAAACAAAAACATGTTGGACCTTTGCTCCACTAAAGATGAGGAGAATTCATGCTCACTCCCGGACCCGAGTTCCTTGATCTCATACTGGTCCCGCGGGGGTCTGATCACCGCCTTCCAGAGCTCTGCATACTGCCTCGCTCGGGGCTGGGAATGACAACGAGCCCATCAACCTCTCCTCAGGGAAAGGAGATTGTTGTCTTTTCCAGGGGAAACCGCCCAAGAAGAGGAAAAACAAGTGGATTTTCCTTCAGGCAAAACGAGTTGAGCCGTCTGGATTTTGTGGGTGGAAAATTCCGTGAGTCACATCGATACACTGGATCTGCCAAAACCTCCTATGAAGGCCCACGAAAGAAAACCACACCTTGTTCTTACTTCAGTCGTTGGTGGACTCCTGAGAAAAAGACGTCCAACTTGTGCCCAGATAGGGACCCTTTGTTTTAGGCAACCCACAAAAGTGCAGTTTCCGTCAGGCGTCATTTTAACACCACACAGAGAGGGCTACCCTCAAAGAAGACGCGCCCAAACACTCACAAACCATGTTGCCGAACACGTGGTTTTGTGGTAGCGATTGAGCCGCTTGAAAAGTTTATACTTTGTTTTTCATCTGCCGTCCGCCCAAACCGCAAGATTTCAAGAGGTACGGGCTTTGTTGGCCAGGCCAAACAATAGATATGGCCAAACTAAATTGCTAAATGGCTACAAACAGGATTTCAAGAGGTACCGGCTACATGCTAAGTGACTAACTGCTTAAAGGGAAGGCCTATAGAGGCTCACTCTGCCCAACGGGCATGTATTAAAGAATGCAATCACAATTTCTGGCTCGAAACTGTTGATTCCGGCTGGAATTGTGTTTTTTGCGCTTTGGATAACGTGTTTTCTCACAACCAGCTCGCGTTCTTTTGTTCCTCTGTTTTCTTGTTTTCTTTATAAAGCAGAAGAATATGTTTTTTGGGGAAATAAGCATTGAAACCCGACAAAAGCTTCACTTAGCCAAAAATAATCGGCAACATTTGTTTTTTTTCGCGCTTGAGCCCTACACCGGATCTACGCGGCTAAGCTCTTTCATGTGAAAAGTGTCCGCGCGGGCCATGTTCTGCATTCTTATAGGTGTTTTTTTCATATTCCAAGCCAGTCGACTTTGCCCAGGCAGTTGAGGCTGCCAAACAGCCGAGCATTGCAACAAGAGGGTTCTTCCGCTCAAGTCGCCTGCCTTCTTGCGCAGCACAGTGGCACACAACGCTTTGCAAGTAGCACGAGGCTTAGACTTCAGCGTGCTCTAAGGCCGGCGGAAACCGCTGAGGCCCGCAAAATGTTTCCCAACTTGCAGCCGTACATTCGCGTGCATGCGTTATAAGAATGCCTGTCCTCTAGATTTGCCTGGGGCGTTCACATCCTAGGGGAGGTGCAGAGATTGCCACAGTGTCAAATTCTATTGCATGCTCTGGTAGGGGGCCATCAATTAGACCTAGGGCCCAGGAAACATCCCTTTCCACACCTTTGCTGTTCTGGCTCACAGAGTGCAGACGCGTTCTGTGTATTTAGCTCTGGCCACTTCCCAGCCCAAGTCAAGTGACGCGCAAGAGATGCTAGGCGGACGCAGTTGCTGGCATTTCGGGGACCGCTGTCCCAGATCCGCTGCGGCTAAGGTACTTTCTTCATGTTGACCTCTGATTAATAACTTTCAGCTAGTTGGGCGTGTCCATTTTTTTAGGGGCCCCCTTTTTGGTGTTAAAGGATCCCCCCTTGAAGATTAACTTTGTGGTCCCTCACTGAACAAATGACCAAAAAGGGAAAACCAAAAGGTCAGCAGGTCGGCTTGGGGCAAGAATCAGCTTTGGGCAAGTGAGAGTTCACTAGTCAGAGCCTTAAGCAATCTTTTGGCGGGTCCCCAACATATCCACATGAACCAAATGGCAAGCCAAAATGAACCTGTGAAGAAGCGAAAAGCCCCAAAGCCTAATTTTGAGGATCCCGACAGGAGTCACTTCAATTTCCTGGCGGCTCAAGCAGCTGGGGTTTTCTTAACTGTGTGCCATGCTGGCAGTGCTGCCATGGTATCCTGCCAACTTTGTGGGCGGTGCGCAGGACTGACATGCAGTCTACCATTGATTCTTTGGCCTGCCGCAAGTGTTTGAGGAATGCTTCAGACCGCGCCACACTCAGCCACGTTGCTGGAGTCAAATGCACGGCCCTTTTCAATTGATTCCTTTGAAAATGTTCCTTTTGCATGTGAGTCTTTGGCCTGCCGCAAGTTCTCCGTCTGACCCTTCCAGGCTTTAGTTTTCTGAGGAATGAGGACTGGCAGTTTTTGCGTGTGATTCTTTGGCGCGCCGCAGGAACGCTTCAGACCGTGCCATAATGAGCCACATTGCTGTGGGGTCAGATTGCTTTGCTCATTGGACATGTCAGATTGCGTGACCATGTGCACAACGCCCAAGCCCCCATTTCTGAGCACTATGCAAAAAAGAAGAGAGCGCGTGCTCCCTGGCGGAGTCGCGCAGGGCCTGCCTTTCAAAAGAGCAAGCAGGACGTGCATCTACCTCCTATCGGGGATGCCAAGCAGCGTGCTGCTAGAAGATGTATGAAAAGGATCGCCAGGAGCTCGACAGACAGCAGAAGATGACGTGTTCGAAACTTAAGCTCATTCATTTAGATGTCGTAACATTGTTGATTCAGGCGCGGGCGACAGAAGCAAAGGGCCCAAATGATAGCGTAGGCCTGACTCAGCGGTTTGGTGATTGCAGCGAGGTCTTGGCCACCGCCGACTGTGCTACCCTCCGAACTGATCACTGAGAAAAATGTCTGGAGGAAGGGGGCCGGGGACAGCCCCAGACAGCTGCTTTTGAGTTATAACGCCACGCCGGTAGTGTAGAGGTAGGTTGACAGTTTGCTCAGCCATGCGCAACTTGGGCATTTGTGTTTCCCGGACTGCCACTGAAAGAACCCCCGCCCCCCTTCCCTCGGGGGGGGGGTCATTGTTCGCATCGGGGGGGGGATGGTTCGAATTTGGGGGGGGGGGGGGGCCATTCGAATGGTTCGAATGGGGGGGCATTGTTGTTCGAATGGTTCAGCTGACCCAGTGTTTCTATTCAGGTGCTGAAAGCAATTCAATCACACACACACACACAGACACACAGACGCACGCACGCGTGCTTCCATCCACCCAGTCATTTATGCACAACTTCATTCGCGCCCGTCCTTCCATCTATGTAACCATCCGCCCACGCATCGAAGCACGCGCTAAGGATCCTTTCGGCAAACCTAACCCGACCCCGTTGCGTAGCACCGGTAGGACAGGTTATAAACAACACGAAATGTCTAGGCCAATCAATCATACCACCTCAAAAGTATAACAGGCGGAAACGCCAAACATCATGTCATACAAAGGACAAATGGAACTTGACATATGGTGTCCCTTTGCCTACAGTACCCGAAACACTTTGCTGCAGTTGAGTGTCCTTTCAACCTCATCAAAAACCACTCGTTTTGGATTTCGCTGCAACTGCTGCCTGCCTTCTACTTTTGCTCTTGCAAAATGAAACTCCTCGAAAAAGCACAAATCTGCAAATTTACCAGATTTTCCAGCATCTGAACTAAGGGATCTCCAAGTAGAGGACCAATATCATGGTGAACTCGTTTTCTACAGGCTTTCTACCAATGCAGGCTCACAGCATGGAAGCATACTCCAATACGTCAAACTGTGGGACAAAATTGTGAACCAGATGCCAAACTGCAACAGCCAAAACCAAAACATAAAAAGGGAAGCCGAGTTGGGGCAGGTTCCTTGCGCTACTTACGTCGCAGGCTGATGGCCCTTACAAACGGATGTTGCGTCCCAGTGGGAAAACATTGACATGCGAATTTCCTCAGGCACCCTTCGGTTTCCTGATTCCTTGGAGTAGAGTCGGACCCTTTCAATTTGATTCTCCTTGAACAACAAAACAAAGTTCCCGGAAACGCTGGCACCTCTTCCCATCCGAGCGGCTCGTAGAGCTTGCTGAAGAAGCTCATGCCATCGCATGGGCTTCATCAGACGCACAAAAAACCATTCGATGTGCCCCTGTTGACTTGCAAGAGGCGTCACCAGGGAGGGGTCTTGGCATGTTCCAGTGCGTACTTTCGGGGTGTAACGCCATGTTGTCGGGGTCTTGGCATGTTCCAGTGAGATGTTTTTTGGGTGTGACGCTTACAAGTTTAAACAAGTCGGTGCTCCCGTGGCTACGCAGCCGTTCTCTTCCCTCGGCCGACCGCTTGAACAGGGCTGCGTCGCTCCAACAAAGATTGCCAGCGCGGTCCTCAAATGAGTAACGCGCAGCATGTCTAGGAAACGGGTCCCAGGTTTTTACACATAACCATAAGCCAATGTTTCATTTGTACAAGCGCCTGTATTAATTTGTGTTAGTTGCTTGATTGATTCATTGATTTAATTTATTGATTGATTGATTGATTGATTGATTGATTGATTGATTGATTGATTGATTGATTGATTGATTGATTGATTCATTTGATTGATTGATTGATTGATTGATTGATTGATTGATTGATTGATTGATTGATTGATTGATTGATTGATTGATTGATTGATTGATTGATTGGTTTGGTTGGTTGGTTGGTTGGTTGGTTGGTTGGTTGGTTGGTTGGTTGGTTGGTTGGTTGGTTGGTTGGTTGGTTGGTTGGTTGGTTGGTTGGTTGGTTGGTTGATTGATTGATTGATTGATTGATTGATTGATTGATTGACTGATTGATTGATTGATTGATTGATTGATTGATTGATTGATTGATTGATTGATTGATTGATGTATGTATGCATGCATGGAAAACTACAACAGCACCCTGACAAGCCCTGCGTAACCAAACAAGCACCGACAGCAACCACCACACCGCCTTGAGCACACCAAACAGCACAATTGACCATCTAAACAAAATCGTCAAGATTACGTAAATAAACAAACAAAGCAGACTGAATGCACAAACAAAATGGGAGTAATAAATGTATTTTCTTCTTTGGTTCAATTTACCGTGCAACAAAAAACAAAAACGAGACCGGCAAACATAAATGAAACAAAACCTATAAATAACATATCATAGTTATAGTAGCTCGTACTTCATGGATAGAAGAAAACGCTATATCTTTGCGCGATTACTGTTGTTCGAAGTACCGGCTCGTGTCTTGTATAACTTGAATAATGTCCTTGTATTTGTATGTTATGTGTGAAATTGTTTGATATTATACATTGCTTGTCCTTCGCAAATGCATTGGCACTCTGCGCGTGTTGAAAGTCTAATCAAGTATTGGCCGAGCCCACATGTAAAACCATCTAAGCAGTCAACGCTCCAAACCCTTTCAGCGGTGCTCCCAACATGGTCAACGCAAAACATACATATGGTCTCATGCTTACTCAGCAAGAAGCAAAAGCCAGCCACTGGGCGGAGCAATGCCTCAAGGAAAGATCCCCCGTTCCTTTCAAAAGCAACGCCGGACAAGGGTTCACATCACTTTGCACAGGCTAGAACCTCACCAGCTCACAGCCGCTGCCACGAACAGCTCTGGTACGTCGCGAGCGGGCCGCCTTGATGACAAGACGCCTGGATCAGACGAAATCTTTGCGACTCAAAAGCTTTCTGCTTGATGGACACGGCCGAAAACATTTTTTAATCATCCTTGTTCACATGAGCTTGTTCCTTGCTGCAAATCGGACGAGGTGGACTGCGCTCCGAAGGAAGCTGGATGCAGACAAGTCAACTTGAACTGGCTGCCGCGTTCCTGGAGAGTGGTGAAGGTCGCAGTGACCCAGCAGCAAGCGCCAAAGATCTCTGCGCTGCTGGAGGGCAGCGAGGGCGCAAAACGTCCTGCGGCCGACAAGCAGCCTCGTAGGAAATGGCAAGCGCGCTTTGCAGCCGCTTCCACTGGGGAGGCAAGCGCCAGACGTCCACGTTGGCACGAAGTCCAAGTCCAGGTCAGACACGGAAGACTCGGACGACGACAGCAGCTGCAGCGGCAGCCGCGGCAAGAAGACTTGGACGCGGAGCGGCAAGAAAGAGAACAAGGGCAAGAAAGAAACGAAGCAAAGAAGAAGTGCAAGAAGAGGTCGCCAGCTGCGCCAGCCAAGCAAACCGAAAGCACTTGGCGCCTGCACCTTCGTGAAGGCCGAGCCGGACGCCTGCTTGGCAGGCTGGCGCAAGAGACGTCGCTTTGTCGCAGCGGCAAACCAGCTCGTGGACGCGGCCCGTTGTAGCAGAGAGATTAAAGAGATTGGAGCAGTTCAGGGACTTGTTTGGCCGTCCCGGACAAGGCCAGAACAACGAGTGCCCCTGAACAAGATCGCTGACGCCGTACTTGTCACCGTAACCTATTGCTGTGCTGTCAGCGGAATAAGACGGACACGCACTCAAACCGCACGGCGGAGGCAATAACAAAAATCTGTGCGAGTCTGCCAAGCCACCCAGCGGTTCGAACACGCCAAATTTCAAAAAAAACTTGACATTCAACTCCACAGAAGCTCCTGGCTCCTGCTGTCCAAAAAAGTCCCCAATTAAGGTGGAGCAAAAAGTTACTAAGAAAGAAAAGTCTCTCATTTTGCGCCCGATGCTGCCAAGATTTCCATTGCGCCTCGACTCAAAGGCAAAGCTCAGATCATTGTGGTCAGAACGACCACATGTACACTTCCTTCCAACCTCACACCATCGACAGATCAAGCTTGAGATGAAGAAGAAACTTGAAGCACGTCCTTTTTGGGAAAAAAAATCGGCTTTAGGGTTTGGGGTCCCCGGGAAAAAGATCGCGCCAGACCCACAGAGGTCAGGTCCTACTGAGACATTGAGACAAGTGAGACAAGTGAAACAACTGAGAACTGTCAATAAACGGCAAAAATGGCTGGTTTTGTGTTTGTCTGACTTGCCTCAGTTGTCTCAACGGAGGCTTGCACAGAAAAAACAGCCAAATGGGCTGGTGCTGTGTTTCTGTCAGTTGTCTCCGTTGTTTGAACGGAAGCTTTCATACAGAAAAACAGCCAAATTGGCTGGTGTTGTGTTTCTCTCAGTTGTCTCAGTTGTCTCAACGGAGGCTAACATACAGTTGGCAGGTTTTGCGTTTGTCTCACTTGTCTCACTTGTCTCAATGTCTCAGTAGGACTTCTGTGGCTCTGGCAAAAAAAACGGTCTGTCTCCTTCATGGTAGAAAACAGCAAAAAATGGCTGGTTTTGTGTTTGTCTCACTTGTCTCACTTGTCTCAACGGAGCCTTTCAGACAGAAAAAACAGCCAAATTGGCCGGTTTTGTGTTTGCTTTAGTTGTCTCAGTTGTCTCAACGGAGGCTTTCATACAGAAAAACAGCCACATTGGTGTTGTGACGGAGGCTTTCACAGAAAAAACAGCACAATTGGCAGGTTTTGCGCTTTCACTTGTCTCAATGTCTCAGTAGGACTTCTGTGGCTCTGGCAAAAAAAACGGTCTGTCTCCTTCATGGTAGAAAACAGCCAAATTGGCCGGTCTTTTTGTGTTTTGTGCACTTGTCTCCCTGGTGTCCTTGCTACCCCAAAAATTTGCGGCGAGCCTCCAACAGGAGCCCCTTGGTGTCCTTGCTACCCCGAAATTTTGCAGCGAGCCTCTAACAGGAGCCCCTTGGTGCTTGCTACCCCGAAATTTGCGGCGAGCCTCCAACAGGCCTTGGCGTCCTTGCTACCCCGAAAATGACAACACAGCGCCCTGGTGTCCTTGCTACCCAAAAATTGCGGCGAGCCTCCAACTTGGACCCACAACCCCCAAAAACGCGCCGAGCCTCCAACAAGGGGGCCATGCTACCTGACGTGATAAGACAAAAAAACACGAGGCCACAACACAAAACCGGCCAACTTTGCTAGCTGTTTTTCTCACCAAAGCCGTCGAGGAGGAGATAGAGCCACAGAAGTCCTACTGAGACATTGAGACAAGTGAGACAAGTGAGACAAACGCAAAACCGGTCAATTGTGGCTGTTTTTCTGTATGAAAGCCTCCGTTGAGACAACTGAGACCACTGAGACAAACACAAAAAAACGACCAATTGAAAGCCTCCGTTGAAACAAGTGAGACAAGTGAGCCAAACACAAAACCAGCCATTTTTTGCTGTTTTCTACCATGAAAGAGACAGACCGTTTTTTTGCCAGAGCCACAGAAGTCCTACTGAGACATTGAGACAAGTGAGGCAAGTGAGACAAACAAAAAATTGCCATGTGTTGATGCTTTTCCGGGCAATTTCTCTCATGGCCTACCGGACGGGCCGGACCAGGACGTCTTCACGACCAACCAGATCACCTCGGCGCTGGTGGCGTACCGCTCGGCCGCCGACCAGGACACAACGGCGTCGAGCATCGCAGCCGCGCTGCTCAGCTACTACACCATCGCACAGGTGGACGGCCTCCTAGCCGGCAAGCTCGGAGTCACGGAGGCAGCCTCGGCCCTGCAAATAGCCGTGCGCTTTCCGGACGACGGAGGGGCCGACGAGGTGGCCGCCATCGGCGAGCAGATCCTGGGCCCCACGGACGTCTCCCTGGCAAACTGGACGGTTCGTCCCAGCAGCGGCTGCAGCGTGGTCCTGGCCACGCAAGTTGTGGGCGCAGCGAGCGTGGACGGCTACACCCTGACCCTGCTGGCAGCGAACCCCTGGAACATCGCGCGCACCTACAACCTGACGCCCGGCCGAGAGCTGCCGCTACCAGCTTGGCACGGCCTCCAACTTTGTGGTGCGAGGCCGACAACGTCTACGACCCCCTGTACGGCAGCTTCGTGGGTGACCAGGGCGCCTGGAGCACGGCCAAGTCCAGCGCAGCAACCGCGGCGAGCTTCGCAGCCACCGGGGCGGTCACGGGCGCCACGCTGACGATCACCGGGGCGGCGTCCGCGGGCCCGCTGGACTGCGAGAGCCTGGACTGCACCTTCACAGCCACGAGCGGCGGAGTGTCGACGGGCAGCGTGGTGCGCGGCGACGTGACGAGCTCGGGCACAGTCTCCGCTCCGCAGCTCTTCGCGTCCAACACGCTCACAGTGACCAACACCTCCGACTTCTCGGACGACCAG